TAACATATAATTTCCTTATTTTTTAGTATTGAATTAAATTTTGAAAAGACACAATATTTGAATAATTTAAAAGCGCATTATCAGCAATGCGAATGAGAATGAATAGCTAATGGCAATGAGTTCATGTTGGAATATGGATACTGTATCTTATTAATTCCCCTTTCCTTTTTAATTCATAATTAGCTTTTTTCTCTCTTTTCCATCCTGATAATTTCTTGATAGAATCATGCCGAATGACTCGTAATTATAAATAATAAAATTAGTGGTAATGTAATGACAAGAAATATCGTTCATCAGAATAAAATTGTTCTCTTGCGCTTAACGAGTTTTTGTATTGGAAAGCCAAAACCGCCGGTATTACTTTATCGTTTGATTTCGGTGCTGTATTCCGCCGAACTTCTATTTATCCCACTGTTTCTGTAAATGCTCGTGCAATGCCAATATATTGGTGATACATGCCGAGAACGAGGTAAATTATAGACAGGTGATGGGAATTTAGGAGAGATGAACTGATTTCAGTTACATCAACGATAAGGTAAGATTTTTACAGACATGAATGAATACTAATGCAACTGAATTCAAGGAATCATTTGAAACAAAGCAATTTTAACACATTCAGTAAACTTAATTAAATATTTGCTTCCTTTGTTAATCCGAGCAAATGAAAGGGAAAGTGGACATTTGAAACAGAAACATTTTGTAATGGATTGAAATTGTTGGCTCAAGATAAACTTGAGCAAATCATTGATCTTGATCGTCACTCATCAAAATACAACGCATTTTTACTGTACTTTGTTTAGATTTCATTTCAAAATATGTTGAGAAAATTTTTCGTAAATTATGTGGATGTGATCTTCCATCGATTTGATAGAAGGTATCCTCGAATTGAATGATTTTTCAATATGATCTCGGTAATGAGAACGGCATGATTTCTTCATCATACGTTTTTCCTGAAATACCGAGAATGGGCTTATCTTGAATGGTGTGAAATTTCGAAATTTTGTTGATAAATTTTTTCGAATTATTTGTGTTTTACGTACAAATACTTTTCGATTGAAACCTATTGCAAAATTAGCAGCTTGTGAGAGGTGACAAGAGATAAATAAGCTACCAGACATTTTCATACTAGT